ATTTAAAACCTGGAGCAGAATTTATACAGACTAATAGAATAACAGAGTTGGAAGGAACCTTGGAGGTCTTCTAATACAGGGGTCCCTCAACCCCTGGGCTGTGGCCCACTACTGAGCCACAGCCCATTAAGAATCAAACCATGCCAGTGCAGGTGAGTGCATGTGCAGCTCCATTAGTGCAAGTGGAGGGTGCAAACACTTGCACCCCACTTGCGTGAATGGCAGGCTCTGGCATTCATGGACCCATTTGTGCGAACAGTGGACCCTGATGCTTGCAGCCTCACTTGTGTGAGCAGTGTGCACACCTCCTGCTGACACAAATGAAACCACCCTTGCACATGCTTGCTCCTCTCACAAAACCATGCCCTCTGCCGCACTGTGCCAGGCTGGAAATGTTGGGGAATGTTGTTCCAATACAGCCCCCTGCTCAAGCAGGAGGCCCTATATCATTCCAAACAAGTGGCTGTCCAATCTCCTCTTAAAAGCCTTCAGTGATGAAGCACCCACAGCTTCTAGAGGGAAGCCAGTCCACTGTTCTCCCAGTCAGGAAATTTCTGCTTAATTTTAGGTTGGTTCTCTTCTTGATTAGTTTCCATTTATTGTTTCTTGTCTTGCCTTCTGGTACTTCAGAGAATAGGTTGAGCTCTTCTTCTTTGTGGCAACCATTCAGATATTGGAACACTGTTATAATGTCACCCCTAGTCCTTCTTTTCACTAGACTAGACAAACCCAATTCCTGCAACCATCCTTCATATGATTTAGCCTCCAGCTTCCTAATCAATGTTGCTTTTTTCTGTACTCTTTCCAGAGCCTCTACATTTTTTTTATAATATGGTGACCAATACTGAATATAATAGTCTTAAGTGTGGTTTTAATAAGGCTTTATAAAGCAGTATTAATACTTCACATGATCTTGATTCTAGTCCTCTGTTATTGCAACCTAGGATTGTATTGGCTATTTTGGCTGCTACCTCACACTGCTGGTTCATATTTAAATGATTGTTCACTAGAACTCCCAAGATCCCTTTCACAGTTACTGCTGTTGAGCCAGGTTTCACTTAATCTATACCTGTATATTTGATTTTTCTTCTAAATGTAAAACATTAGTTTTCTTACCATTAAATTCATTTTGTTTGATAAGGCCCAGAGTTCAAGGCTGTTGAAATCCATCTGGATATTGACCCTATTTTCTCAGGTGTTGGCTATTCCTACCAATTTAGTGTTATCTTTAATTTTGATGAGTCCTCCTTGTATCCCCTCATCTAAATCATTTATGAAGTTTTTGAAAAGTACTGGTACTAAACAGAACCTTGGTTTACCACACTACTTTCTTCTTTCACGTAGATATAGTTCCATTGTGGACTAGGTATTGACTGATTTGTCAACCAATTACAAATCCATCTGGTGGTGATGATACACGTTGTGTTTTGGCTTACTAAGAAATAGGTTATGGTCTACCTGTCAAAAACCTTACTGAAATTCAAGTATACTATGTCCGCAGCATTTAGCTCATCTTCTAATTTACTTTGTCAAAAAATGAAATGTCAAAGAATGAAATAAGATTTGTTTGGCATGATCTGTTTTTGGTATATCCATGTTGGTTCTGGTTATTACTTTGCTTAATAATAATAATAATAATAATAATAATAATAATAATAATAATTATTATTATTATTATTATTATTATTATTATTATTATTATTATTATTTAATAAATTTATATGCAGCCCAATTCCGTAGGACTCTGGGCGGCTTACAAATACAAGAATAAAATAAAAACTAAAATATAGGGAAAAGAGAAAAACAGATTTAAAAACAACACACCTAGATGGGGCTGGACCTCATTTCCGGCAGGCCTGGGGTCAACAGCCCCAGGCCTGCCGGAACAGCCAGGTTTTAGTGGCTTTTCAGAAGGCCAAGAGAGTGGGAAGGGTCTGGATCTCTGCAGGTAGATCGTTCCACAGGGCCGGAGCAGCTACAGAGAAGCCCTCCCCCAGGGGGTCGCCAGCTGGCATTGCCTGGTCGACGGTACCCGGAGGAGGCTCAGCCTATAAGATCTTATCGGCCGTTGGGAGGTATGTGGCAGGAGGCGGTCTCGTAGATAGCCAGGTCCTAGGCCATGTAGGGCTTTAAAGGTAATAACCAGCACCTTGAAGCGCATCCGGAGACCAATAGGAAGCCAGTGCAGCTCGTGGAGGATAGGTGTAACATGGGTGTATCTAGGTACACCCGATATCGCTCGCGCGACTGCATTCTGGACCAACTGTAGTCTCCGAACACTCTTCAGGGGCAGCCCCATGTAGAGCGCATTGCAGTAATCGAGACTTGAGGTGACGAGGGCATGAGTGACCATTCAAAGTGCCTCCCGGTCCAGGTAGGCCGCAACTGGTGCACCAGGCGAACCTGGGCAAAAGCCCCCCTGGTCACAACCGACAGATAGTGTTCTAATGTCAGCTGCGAATCCAGGAGGACACCCAAGTTGCGGACCCTCTCTGAGGGGTGTAAATTTTCACCCCCAGGCTAAGGGATGGAATATCTGGACTATCCTTGGGGGGCAACTTCAATAGCCACTTGGTCTTGTCTGGATTGAGTGCCAGCTTGTTCACTCCCACCCAGACACTAACAGCCTCCAGGCACTGGAACATCACTTCCACTACTTAGCTGAGTTGGCATGGGGCGGACAGATACAACTGGGTATCGTCCGCATATTGGTGGTATTTGATCCCAT